TTTGCAGTCGGGTTTGACGAAGGAAGGCAATGCGGTTTGTTTGGAGGAGGTTAATGGGAAATTTGTTGAAGCTAGCGGGACCAGATGCGGGGGTTTTAATTTAGAACTTCCTGCAGATGTTTATGTTGAGGATTCTGCGAAGAACCCCGTCAAGGAGAAGGGAGGGTGTATGGTACCCCTTTCGGATAAAGGGAAGAACTTGTATTGCTACGAGGTTATTGATTTGGAGGAGCCTACTGAGATGGAGTCTCAGATAGAGCCTCCTACCGGAAATTGTGGCCTGGTGGATGGTTCTACACTGCACATTGCATCCGATATGGCTTCGTCTAGCCAGGTTCAGAATGGGTCTGGCTTTGTGCCTTCTTCGTCGAGAAAGCAGTCTGATTTCGTGCCGGATTTGAACCTTTTGCTTGATGGTTGTAGTGAGAGATGGGGGGAGCGTAAGGATGATCATTCTGGTGCTGGTGAGTGTTCCTCTTTGTCAATTCCTTTTTGTTGTCTTGGTAGACCATAGCTTTTGAAGCTTAGATAGATAGAGATATTTATTGCATGTAGTCTGTTGTTATAAAGCATTTAGTTATTATCAAAATTGGGAATAATTTGATTCTTTCTTTATGGATTTTTGGTCCCCATTGCCTATTGACAGCACTTCATCAGCATTTATGCCAATTTAGTTTTTTTTACTATTCTTCTTGCTACTACTATTGTTATCGTTGTTACTGGGTATTGTTTGGTTCTCAAGGCAGATATATGCTCGAGATATTGGTATTCTTTTTCCTTCTTCTTTCTTTCGTTTTTCCTTTCTGATTTTCTATGAATGATACAGTTGTAGTCTATCCATCCAAGTCATCTGTACTCTATATAACATGTATGCGTCTTTGTTTTATTACCTTGAACTTGAAGGACCAGCCTTTATAGAATAAGCGAGTGAAATCAATATATCTTGAATTCTAGCCCTTTTATAGCAGTTTCCTTATTCACGTGAAAACTCGACCCCACTTATCTTGAGCAAATACTCGACATAATATTATTATTTCCCTGCGAAAATTGCCAATGTGCTTATGTTGCTGTAGGAGCACTCAAGATATCATTGTTAATCTCTGATTTTATTAAACAATGTGGTCATGTACAGTTCGCAATTATGCCTATACCATGCGTGAAAACAGGTCTCTGTTTGGCAAGATCGACAAGAGTCAGTTAGTGCATGAGATTTGTGTTTTGATTTGATGAGTTTAGACCTCTAGCATTCTTCGCCATGTTAATTTTTTTTGAAAAACAATTGGACCTGCACATGGTTTAAGTATCGGCGCAGTCTTGTGATATGGGCATGCACTTTCCATGCAAAACCTTGTGTTTGTGTGTGCGCACACACAAAAGAGGGAGAGCGGAAGAGACAGGGCAAGGGAGAGGGAGAGGGAGATAAGAAACTGTGCATATTCTAGTTTATTAATACCTCTAAATATTCTAACTTTGTTTTTCTCCCAAGAATGCTGACGAGACCTTTTTTAGTGCAATCCTTTTGAAACATCCTACATCCTTTATTTATATTCCGTCAGTAACTCTCTTTCATTGTTTTCATGCATATGTTCATGCCTCTTCCTACCAAGTCAAGAGTTCGGATCACATAAGATCCACCGCAAATCTGTTATACATTGGTAGCATCCACTTGGAAATTACTCTTAATCTATAACGTTGGAATTTAAAGGCTTATATGACCAGAAATAATCAACTTCAGAACAGTGTTGAAAATAACGCGTTTCGTAACGCAAAATAACGCTTAACGTAACGTAACGGTAGCTTAACGTTACGTAACGTTTGAAAATAACGCAAAGACAAAATAACGCACGTTATTTTAGCTATAACGTAAGTTACGTAACGTAACGGCGTAACGTTTTATAACTTAGGTTATTTTGTCAATGGCTTAGATTGCTTTTAAAAGAAATGAACGGCTGTGATTGAGTTATAACTTAGGTTATTTTCCACCTCCCCTTCCCCTTTTCACGCCTTTTTCATGCCGCCCGCAGCTCCGCCTCCCCTTCCCCTTTTCACGCCCTTTTCACGCCGCCTTTTTCACGCCGCCCGCAGTTCCGCCTCCCCTTCCCATTTTCACTCCTTTTTCATGGATTCCAACCCAACCTAATAATTTCATACTTCATAGTTTATGGATCATTGGATCCTTTTTGGTTTCGAACTTGAAGTATTTTATGCTTTTGGATTGATTGTTAAGGCAAACATGGTTGATTTGGTGTGAAATTGTGATGATATATTGATTTGTGAAATTGAAAATTGCGATGATTATTCATATTTTTTTATTTTGAATGTTATATATCTATAAATTATTTAAATAATAATAAATTATTTAACCTACGTTACGCTATGCGTTATCGCTATTGTAACCTAACCGGAGGTAAGCGTTACGCTATGCGTTATCGCTATTTTCAACATTGCTTCAGAATATAACATAATGTGAAAGTCACATCCCTTTTGGTCATGGTAATAAAATGTCGAAATCCACACATGGGATCTGACTAGCATGGTGGTCTTACTACTGTTCTGTCCTTTGATAGCTTGTTTGATAAACTTAGCTACCAACTCATATTTGTTTTTTCCCCGTTATATGTATGTTTGCATGTGTTCAAGAACATAGAGAACACACACTATCATTTGCTCATTTGTACATACATACCAAGGTTACAGAAAGTGCTAGGCGGCCTATGCGTTTGACCGGACGCCTAGCGCCTAGGCATTTAGGTGAGAGCCTAGGCAGTTTTTCTTTTTTTCTTTTTTAATTACAATAATTGATAGTAACTGTCAATGTTATAGAAAACTTAGATGTCGAACTAGCGTCTAGAGGGATTTCTTTCTTCGTCTAAGTGGTGGTGGAGAATGTTTTCCTAAATATCGGAGGAGGTAGAAGAGGTGTTCATAGTTAGAGCCTAGAGAAGTTAGGAGGAGGCTAGAGGATGTGGAGGCTGTAACAAAGGAAATCACGATCAAGGCCTAAAGTGTGCAATCCACATAAGCAGTCCAAACTCTCCTAGGCGCTCCCAAAATCTAATTGGGCGGTTAGGTACCGCCTAGGCGCTAGGCTAGGTATCGCCTAGGCAGGCATATGCCTATTCGGCTAGGCAAAGGCTTTTTAAAACATTGATACATGCAAAAGATATGCACATACCCAGACATGCAAATATGCGGGGTGGATTTAGGCTTTAGCCTAGGGTGCAATTGCACCCTAGGACATTTCATAATTACATTGTAAGGTCTTCACAAGTTTTAATCTGCCTCCATTTAAAATTTGCACCCAATGGCCCAATGTTTGCTTATATAACCAATAAATAGTAGCCCATTTGCATTGAATAGCCTATTCCATTTGGAGTTTAACCCATAATTATATAACCAATACTTATAGTTTTATTTTTAGGTAAATAGGTGCTTGTCGTATGCCCCTCTAAAAGAATTTTTTTGGATCCACCACTGCACATATGTATCCATATACAAGATACATGTGCGCACACAAACACGTGTGTTGATGGTAATAAATTACATGCACATACCACAAGCATGATAATGTACAGTATGCACGTACCTCTAGAGTGAGGGACTTGTTAAGACGTGTTGGAATTCATTACACATTTATGCCTTTAAAAATGGTACATCATCATAAAACACTATTGATATATTCTGGAATCTATCTTAAAACAACTCTACCTGAGTACATTTAGCATCTATACTCTAGAATTTAAGGCTAAAATTGCTCATGGTATTGGAAACTAACAGATTTGACATTCACACGTACAAACTCAAGGATACCTTGATTGTTGACATTTTCTTTTTAATCTCTTTGCTATATATGAAATCGTGCAAGTACTTTCAAGGAGAAGCAGATATACTGGCAGTGAAATACAAAAGGATTCACAAATTTTGGTGCACGTAATATTCCGCTTTTGTAC